TGTGTGTGTGTGTGTGTGTGTGTGTGTGTGTGTGTGTGTGTGTGTGTTGTACTGCAACACACACATCTGCATTGCATCTAAACATTTCCTCTCTCCTTCTCTGTTTCTCTGTATCTTCAGGTCTAGTTTACCCAGAACCTCTAAATACCCAAAGTCTATAAACACCGCCATCATGCCTACTGCATCTGATCTCTCTGCTGCTGTTGACAACCACATCCCTGAGGGAGACAGACACATCATCTGGAGGGCCCTGCTGCACAAAGAGCCCCCGCCAAGGTTGTCCGACGCGTTGTTCGACCAAAGAGACAGTGTGCTATGGGAAGCACCGGCCTGGCAGCGTGGGTCACGAGGGCGTCGTCACGCCAGCAGTGGTGGCGGGAGAGGGCACAGCCATCTGATGAGGGTGGGGTGTGTCCTCGGCACCTGTCAGGTTCAGAACCTCAGCCACCGTCTCTACCAGCTAATTGGACAGAGTGGGAGGGAAGACTCCTCCCCCATTAACCCTCGCAGTCCTTACAGCTACGGCTAATACGACACCATGAATCTACTGATGCCTTTCAGGTCATTTGCTGCATCAATGACACAGTTAGGGCCCAAAATAAGCCTTCGATGTCAGTCCTTGCAACCCTGCCATTTTTCTTACTATATTGATATAAATAGTAAAGCGAGTAGCATTTATTGTCTCCCAAAACACATTTGCTGTTCCAAATTAGTAATATACGGTATACAGGTCATTTCAAAGAGGCAGGGTTGGTCCTTGATGAGGCATCTCATCTCAGCTACCTGGTAGAAAATGTAGAATTATGGTTAATTAAGACTTGGGGTTTTGACCGTCACTCTCATTGTTAATAAATAAATTGCTGAGATCTGGGAATTTGGCAACATCGCTAAGAAGAAGCCAGAAGGAGCAAAAAAAACACAAGCAGACAGACAGATTTGAAACAAACCCCCAGGTTAGCTAAACTGGGGGCACAAAGGGGGAAAGTAGAATTGTCAGCCAAACTGCCCGTTGTAAATATCTATCACAGTCTGCAGGAAACTTACACGGGACCGAGAGCACATGACCCTTGCTTTGCATGTTGCATTGGTGCCTCAAGATTCTCCCTAGTTTATACGCCAACTTGCTGGTTTAATCTCTTATCACCAACATTTCAGGTGTGCTCACTTTTGGATTTACCTGCAAATAAAGTGGTTTAGATAATCTGGCAAAATCTGTGGCTCGCTTGATCATTTAACTGAGAAGAAACATTGAGTTTCTTGCCCCATCAGACTCTAATGTAGTGACGATATCATGTTTCCTGTAATTTGTGAATTGTTTAATTTAACAGCCTCTCGATAGATGGAGGTGTCGGATAACGCAAACGGTAGATTTCCATAGCGTTATTGGCCTTGAAACTAGAGTCCCAGGTGCTTTGGCATTCATACAATAAGAACCATTGAGACACTATGTATGTAAACAAGGAAAACTGTGAATGAGAGAAGCCTCTTCCTTACTGACATACCTGACTAATGTCTACTATCGTCATCAATGGTGATCCTGCTGATCTGAACCTACTTGAGCTCAGAGCTAATCCACTATGTCTCTTAAAAAGGACCTTCATCTCCATCTGCAAACAAGTAGCTTTACTTCAGTGCGAACAGAAACCCAGAATAACTTCCAATCAAACCACGTTAACCCTTCACCCAAAACCCCACAGAGCACACAATTAGCCAAAATAACCACTGACCCTAATCCATGATCTGTCTGGATGCTTTTTAACGTCTCTTGACAGGGACAACTACCATTTACTGTTGTGTGAACAGTAAATCTATGACGCATCATTTTGATTTTTGCCACTATTAGGTCGGGTTTTCAGCCTTAATTGCTTTAATCATTAAAGGCCTTGTTATGTTTTGCCTTTTTACGTATCCAAATTAATCATCACTATGAATGTTGACTTTCAAAGTGTTATAGTGCTTTATAGACTTCTGTTTTTCTGCGTGCGTCAGTTCAGCATAACAGTGTAAGTAGTTAATATGTCATGTTCAGTATGACTTGAATTTTAACAATGTGTTTTTTAACTTAAGATCATTTTGCTGTAAATATCCCACTTTACTGAATCTTCATGCAAGCGCCCCTTCAAGATACAAGTGTCCTTTTGTATAACATCTGTGTTGCTTTCATCTAATACTTTGTTTTTACAATAGCAGCATTGTGTAATAAAACTCCAGTCAAACCTTCACATGTAATTTGTCTGTCTAAAATGTGGTTAATAACCACATAGTTTATGATTGGAAAATGTTCCTTACACCATGTTAGTAAAAACAATTATTAATCTGGGCTACTGCTGCACACACACACACACACACACACACACACACACACACACACACACAC